GCTGCATTACTACATACGCTGCCTTACTGCATGTACACAATGCAGCTTGTATAGTCTGAGGCCTAATGCAGGCTGATGATATTCCGGAATGAGATGACATGACTGTTTGCATAGAGCAGCCTGTGTTAGGTTTCATCATATACACGCTGTGTTGTGTATGCGCTGCATTACCATATGTATGGGAAGTGCTAATGCAACACATGCAGTGTTGTATTCAGCAAAGCTTGGGTGGAGGAAAGGGACTTGACCAGGCACGGGTAAGACTGTTAAGGCTATGTCATTGGTCAGAGCCCTGGAGAAGAGTGGGACAAGAAGAGCAGGCGCAGCTGACATTCACCTGACAAGGATGCAGTGCACTCCAGGTACCGGCACACAGAAGAGGGCAGGTTCTTGTCCAGTATGGCACAGACAACACAGAGGATACCAGCGTGCAGGAGAAAAGAAGAGCGGTGATATCAGCAGTCATCGGACCACCCACAGAGGCTGCAGGTGCCCGCAGATGAGTGGGAGAGACTGAAACACACCTGTGTAAACAGAGCTCAGTCAATTATGAAATAAATCTATACAAAGCAACAGCTCATGGATTGCAGCCTGCAGTTGGTACAATACTTGGATAAACTCCTCATGTCAACAGTATCTTAAATTCTATGCCATTGGACAACTTTTAAAAAATAAATTATTGATGTTATCAATGCTATCGCCTTATACGCCAAGGGGATGATTGACATGTTTTTCTTTGGTTAGGGGGCTTTTGTTTGTTTGGTTTTTGTTTTGTTATTGCTGTTTCTTTTGTTGGTTTTTTTGTTTTTATTATAATGTGACTGAAAAAGTAAACCTGAGTCATTCATAGTCCTGGGAACAAGTAGACAGATTCTGGGCTCCCACGTAATTCTAGCTAGTTCCCACGAACTGCTAGTTCTTACATCATGGACCTGAAGATATTCACCTTTCATGAAATGATTTCTGAAGATAAGGGTGCTAGAGCAAAGTGTGGTGAAGAAAGCAGATGGTGCCTGGCTATCAGTCAGAATAGAGTCTGGGTCTTAAAGGCTTGTGTTCAAACAAAGAGCCAGCTAAATCAAAAGTCAACTAAGGCCACACCAGCCTGTGCGATCCAAAGATGACAATAACAAAGCCCAAATATGATGAAGGGAAAAGTATCAGCATAAATTGTGAGCCCCCAACCTGTAGAAGGCTATAGAGGACAGTGGGAACCCTCAGTCCATCTGCAGATTGTCTGGTCAGATTAAGCCACTGGCAGATCCCTTCCAGCCAAAACAAGGGACTCAAAGAGCTTTACTATCAGACAGCAATTACTGTAAACTTGATTATGGTGGATCAAATCATGATATAATGATACTTGGTCAGTTAACCTCCTTCTTGACCCAACCTGAATTTTTTTCAACAACTCAAATATTTTTCACTGCTTCCATGACAGAAATTTCTTCTCTCGCTTTTTAAATATTGTTCGTGGTCTTTTCTTTCTTACTCTCTATTTTTATTGTTCTCTTTATGTTCTTATTATTTTCTTCTTTTTGTTTCATTTTGTTTTTGTTTTTAATTGTTCCAGTTTGTGAAGCACAGGAGGAGTAAATTCATAGAGACTGTAATGGAATGGTTTATTGGGGACATGGAAGTGGGGTGGATTTGGGGTAAGGAGATTTGGGGAGCAAACAATGAATGTGGGGAGGTAGGGAGCCTTAGAACTGATTGTGATGATGTATATACAATCCTTTTGAAAATCAACTTAACTATGAAAGTGTATGGTATATGAATATTATATCAAGAAAACTACTAAAAAATAAAGCAAATTTGACTAATGGTTACCATGGGTGATGGAGGAAGAGTTGTTGATCAGGGGGCATTGATGTCAATGGTGGTGGAATCATTTGGAAAAGGATATCAATAGTGGTCCTGCAACGTAAAGAATATAATCAATGGCACAGAATTATACATGTAGAAGTGTTGAATTGGAGAATATTTTGTTATGTATATGTTTGCTACATCAAAAAATAATCACTACACACAAAAATAAAATAAACCTTTATAGGAACTAGAAAGAAAAATGGGTGAGCAAAACACCTCTCATAGAATCCTTAACGAGACCCTAATATCTTTCTTTTAAAGGATAGTCGAGACCAGAGGATGTACACTGGTACAATAGGAACTGAAAATACAGGGAATTCAGGGCAGATGAGCCCTACAGGACCAGTGGTGTGAGAGGCGAAACAGGGAGGGTAAAGGGAGAATGAGTAGGAAAGAGGGAACCGATTACAAGGAACTATATGTGACCTCCTCCCTGGGGGACAGACAACTGAAAAGTGGGTGAAGGGAGACGTCGGACAGGGCAAGATATGACAAAATACCAATTTATAAATTATCAAGGGCTCATGAGGGAGGGGGGAGTGGGGAGGGAGGGGAAAAATGAGGACCTAAGGTCAGCAATTAAGAGGAGAGAAAATGTTTTGAGAATGATGTACAAATGCACTTTACACAATTGATGTGTGTATGGATTGCGATAACAGTTGTATGAGCCCCTAATAAAATGTTTAAAAAAGAATAAAGATTACAGACCTGGAAAACCAGAAAGAAAGAAAAAAGGATAGTGGAGTATATTTACATTGCTGGTATTTACTGATACTTAGGACTTATGGGGAGAATTACATTTGTTATTTAATGCATGCATAACATACGCAAATAAATTCTGTGAACTAGGGTGATAAGGTCGATTTTCTTCAAGGAGCTGGAAGACAGGAACAAATTGAGTAAAGAAAATTGGTCCCCACACTGAAGGCATCCAAATCACGGCTGTTGTTAAAATCACTCTGTCACTTCAACTTAAATTTAAAAGTTAAATATTGTCTCTAGGGGCAGTTTAGGATGAGTAAACTATGGATCGGTACACAAATGTTGTTATTGTTAAATGCCAGGCAGTCAAAATAGCAAACTTATACAACTGAAGTAGTGGTGATGGAGGGGCTACATTCTGGACTGCAAAGCTCAAGGTGAGCAGTTTGAAACCATCAGTTGGTGTGTTGGGGAAACACAAACCCTTTGAGATCCCTTTGAGTTGGAATTAACTAGATAGCAGTGAGGTTTCTTGGTCTGTTTGTTTTTATACAAGAGAAGGAAACCCTGCTGTTAGATTGAAGTCCCTGTGTGGACCCATCTCCCTAAGATGCTCCATTCCTCCTCAAAGCAGACAATAAAAGAGGCTTGGAGGGACAGCATGTCTGAAAGTACTAATGGGATCATTTCAACAATGCTCCAACTAAGATAAATCAGGTATCAGGTAAACTGGGCACTTCTGAGAGTGGATAGAGATGATATTAATAATTACTTCAAGACAAAGCTGGGAAACTGGGGGTTGTCCCAGGCACATTAGAATGTCTCTGCCTATGTTCATAAAATCAGCTACAACTCCTCTGATGAAAGATGAACCATATATTAAATCAAGGGTTGCTGCTTGGTGAAGACAGGGCAGACTAGGGAGAGAGGCAACTAGTTGAAACCCAGGAGCAAGACACATAGAAGGAGGAAAGATTATAAAATACTATTTTCTTGAGGCCCAGAAGGGAGTACAAGGGATGCTGGTTAATAAGTTTCCTGGTCTTGGACGGGAGTCATAAATTACAGCAGATCAGAGTAGCACCAAGAATCAGCAAGAAACACAGACATAAAACTGCCATTGAGGCCATGCGGACTCATGGCGACCACATAGGACGGAGTAGAACTGCCCTGTGGGTTGCCTAGACTATAACTCTCTATGGGAGTGGAGCGCACGGTCTGTTGTTACGGCTCTTGGTGCTCTTAGCAATGGAGCCCATTCCAAGTAATGTCACTCATCAGTGTCGCCGAGAGAAATGTGGCCCAGTCCCTCGCTGTCTCCATGGCCTCTATTATGTTTGAATCCATGGTGACAGATACCGTGTCACTCTGTGTCATCCTGAGTTTCCCTTCTTTTTACCAAAGGTGCATTTCCCCAGCGAAAACAAAGGATGGACACCGAGCCACCAGCCTATTCAATACATCCAGGGAAACGAGGAAAGACAGACTGTGGCTGATTCTGTGGGGAAGTCAAGACTCACCTGGGTCAAGGACATTGTGCAAACCAGGAGAAGAGCCTTGTAGAGGAGTTTCTTGTGCCCCCGCCTTCCCCACTGGACCAGGAGTCTCCCCGTGAGAGGGACGATTATTTCTCTCTTGTGATGGGAAAATCCCTGAAGTAGGTGACAGTGTCCCTGTTTTCAAAGAACTCTTCAAAATGAGGAACCAACGCATTTGAGGTACAAAATCGATCCTGCCCTCCTCTCCTGGGCCGTGTAAATGGCTAAGACACTCATCAGCCCCCCCAGACCCTGGTGGTTCAAGTCCTTCCAGAGATGCCCCACGGGAAAGCCTGGGGGGTGTACTTCCAAAGACCAGCTTTTGAAAATGTTAGTCTGACACACACAGGACGAGCTTTAAGGGTTGGCTCTGCAGACAAGAAATGCCCCAAACCATGGAGCTAGTGGACTTCTGACTGGCCCCATCAGATGTGACCTCCGGGGACCTCACCCAGCCCTTCTATTCCTTATTTGAAACTTACGGGAAGCCTCCTGTCTCAGGGGACTTTGGTCTGTTGGCCATTTAGATATCAGTTAACTGCCTTATAAACATTTTAATAAAGTACAAGGTTCAGGACAGCTTGCCCTGCTTTATAAGCAGCAGATAGTCAATCACAGCACTCATTTGTTCTCAAGAGGAAGTAAGGTAGGTTTGCCCACCTGGTCTTTTTCTCTTTAAAAGAGTCTCTATGCTCTAGTTTTTACTCTTTTTATAAAGCATCCATTTATGTTTCTCTCCCACCCAACCCCTTAATCTCCTTGGTAGACTCTTGGGCCACTTTGACCTCGGTTTCCTTCTCCTTTGCCACCACCTGTGTCCACAGCCCATCATCCTGCTAATCCGAGAAGCCTTCCGGTAGACCGACACGTCTGGACGCAGCCCTCTGCTTCATCATGGCCAGTTCACCGGATTTCACTAAGTTTCAGGAACAGGTGATCTGCCCCATCTGCTTAGAGATTTTTCAGAACCCTGTCACCATTGACTGTGGGCACAACTTCTGTCTCAAATGCATCACTGCGACAGTGGATACATCAGGCAGCTTACTCAAGTGTCCCCTCTGTAAGCACTCTGTGGGGAAGGACACACTGAAGACCAACTGGGTGTTGATGAATCTGGTGGAGATGATCCAAGAGATGCGTCCCAGGGAGGAGCAGCCGGGAAGGGGAGAACGAAAGTGCCAGAAACACAAGGAGCAACTGCACTACTTCTGTGAGACTGACGGGAACTTTCTCTGTATCGTGTGTCGGGAATCCAAGGAACACAAACTTCACAAAGTCATCTTGATGGAAGAGGCTGCCCAAAAGTACCTGGTAAGCACTGGGCGTCCCTTCCTTGCCTCCTCTGTCAGATCAGAAGTTCAGGGTGGATGTGGGAGATAGAGCGACCTCTTTCTTCTGGGTCAACACCACTGTGGATCACCCCCCCACACACCCCGTGCATGGGCATTTCAGAGTCAGGCAGGGTCAACACTCTTGAAGGGAAGGGGGAGGGATGTCTCATTATCTCTGGAGTATCATTTGATTCCAAAATCTGAAGTCTTTTTAAGTCATACCAGAACGCAGAGTAAAAAAGATGTGCTTTTTAAAAAAAAATCATTTTATTGGGGCTCTTACAACTCATCACAGTCCATACATACGTCAATTGTGTAAAGCACACTTATACATTCGTTGCCCTCATCATGATCAAAACACTCGCTTTCCGCTTGGGCTCCTGAAATCAGCTCCTCGTTTTTCTTTTTCTTTTTCCCCTTCCTGCCCTCTTGCCCCTCCCCCAAGACAGGCGATTTTGAATCAGAAGGTCTGGGTTCAAAGGCTAAGTTCCTGAGCTTTCTATAAGACACTCAAGGAGTAACTTGGCTTTTCTGGGGCATGGTTGTCACACCTTTCAAATAGGGCAAACGGAACAGAATGCAACGTACTTCCAACCAGACCAATGGCAGAAAGTCTGTGAAAATCCTTTCCTAACCTCAAAGCCCCATTCATATATCAACTGCAATCACTCCTGGATGACACACTCTCCTAAGTGCCTGGGGCCCAGGTCTCTCCCCTTCCCACCCCACCCAGCCAGGTGGGTCCCCGCCCAGTCTCACCTGCCTTCCTGAAAGATCAGGGGGCTTTGTGAGACCAAGAGGACTCTCAGGCACAGCTTTCCAATAAGGCCCTCTCCCGCAGGAACTAGTTAATTCCCAACTGGAGGTCTTGCAGCAAAAGCAGAAGGTGATCATGCAGGTGAAAACCCAAGGCAAACAGAAGATCCACGACTTCATGGTAAGGAAAGGTTATGTGTGGCTCGTTCTGTCCTGTGGTCCTTGGAAGCAAACTATTCTCCTCCCTCAAGCCTCTTGGATGTGGTTGAAGCAGGGAGCCAGCCCCCCTCCCCCCACCCAATCACGGGTTTTGATAGGCACAATGGAACGGTTGAGGTTATAAATATTATATTAAAGTTATAGAGAGCATGAGAGATAAAACAGAGATTGAAATAATGGAGTCAGACACATCTCATGGTAGCATGCTCACCTCAGCCCCGCTTGGTGGTCCACGTGGAGAGAGGTGGAAGGGAAGGCGGACAAAGGGAAAGGGAACAGGGGAGGAGAGGGAGCCGATGAGAGGTTAAGGGAGGAGCCGAGATTGAGAGAGAGATATCTATTGCTAACCCAGGCCTATACACCTTTGGGGGTGTGCCAGCCCACTAATTACAGGTAAAGACATACGTCACAGGAAGGGATTGCACTATAGGTTATACAGCAATGAGAGGAGGTGGTCTAGGGACATACACGCAATAGAAAGAGGAGGGATTGGGGATATACAGTGACAAGATGGGTGGATCCCAGAGTCAGGATGGCAGCTTAACCTTGACCTGTTCTCTGGGTCTCCATAGGAACCATTATCAGTAGGGTGTAAACCCCACCTATGGGAACCAAATCAATGACTGCAGGCCTGTCCATTGTCCTTAACAGCAGGGAGCGGGGCTCACCTTAATCTGGTGACTCACTATCTTCAGGGAGGATGTCTGTAAGCATATGACCTCCCCTCACACTTGGATCTCTTATTACCCTGCCGGCTCAGAAGAAGACCTGGCACCAAAGAAAGCGACTTAGAGGGGGCAGAGTAGCTGGAGGGACAGAAGCCCTGGGTCATGGGTTACACTTTCTCCCCCCGCAGGATTTGGCTTGTCTGCCGCAGCACCTTCACATCTGGCCTTGAGTCACTGCACAAGGCTGACCACTGTAGTCTCCTCCACCTGACGGTAGTGGTGTGTGGGGCACACAGGCTGGTCTTAGTGTCAGAAATGCTGGTTTTTAGGCTCACCTCTGTGAGTGCCTTAACCAGAGGATGAAGATACTGTAACTCTGCCCAGCTTCTTGGCCTATGATCTCTGTGTATGTCAAAGGACCAGTCTTTGGGGGCTCACTACCGTCGAGTTGATTCTGAACCTCATCTTTCTCCCTCAGAGTGGGTGGTGGTTTCCAACTGCTTACCTTGTGGTTAGCAGCCCAACACATAACCATCTATGCCACCAGGGCTCCTAATCTTTGTGAAAGAAGATTATAAACGAAAAAGCCTTTTGTTTTTTTTCCAAATCATTTTATTAGGGGTTCATACAACTCTTACCGCAATCCACACATACACCAATTGTGTAAAGCACATTTGTACATTCATTGCCCTCATATTCTCAAAACATTTGCTCTCCACTTAAGCCCCTGGCATCAGCTCCTCATTTTTCCCCTCCCTCCCCGCTTCCCCCTCCCTCATGAACCCTTGATAATTTATAAATTATTATTTTGTCATATCTTGCCCTGTCCGACGTCTCCCTTCACCCATTTTTCTGTTGTCCGCCCCCAAGGAGGAGGTCACATGTAGATCCTTGTAATCAGTTCCCTCTTTCAACCCACCCTCCCTCTACCCTCCCAGTATCGCCACTCACACCACTGGTCCTGAAGGGATCATCCACCCTGGATTCCCTGTATTTCCAGTTCCTATCTGTACCAGTGTACAGCCTCTGGTCTAGCCAGACTTGCAAGGTAGAATTGGGATCATGACAGTGGGGGACGGAGGAAGCATTTAGGAAGTAGAGGAAAGTTGTATGTTTCATCGCTGCTACATCGCACCCTAACTGTAAGGGGATGTCCAGTTGCCCACAAATGGGCTTTGGGTCTCCACCCCGCACTCCCCTCCCCCACATTCACTATGATAAGATTTTTGTTGGAAAAGCCTTTTGGAAATGAAAAGTAGCTTGCCTGAAAAAGGGGTGGGGGCGGAGCTCAATCATAAATAATTTCCCCTACTACTGAGCTCATGATGAATGGTTTAAAAAAAAAGTGCTCTACAACGTTCCTTTTCCAAATCTGCCACACAGCACTACTTTTAACTGACAATTAATTCAAGTGTGAACTTAATGAGACTGACATTTTTGGTAACATAGGGAATAATCAATCGTGTGCCATCCTCACGCCTGCTCGTGCTTGTTCTCCTTGCCCCCAGGCCCAGGTCGAACAGGAAATGGGAAGAGTCACGGCAGAATTCAAGCAACTGTTTCAGGTCCTCCAGGAGGAGGAGAAGGCTCTCCTGTCACGACTGGAGGAGCTTGGTCAAGAAGGAGACCAGGCAAGCCAGCTCTACATCACTAGCATTGATGCACAACTGACATTCCTCAATCGGTTTGTCCAATCTCTGGAAGCCAAGAAGCAAATGGCCCCCAGTGACCTGCTGTGGGTGAGTGTCACTTAGGGGCAGGCTACAGACTAGCCCGTCCCTGTTCACAGGTCACAGAAGGGCCACCTAGCAGAATATAAAATTAAAAAAACACTATCATGATGCAAACCACCACGTCTGTAACTCAGAGAAGCGTGGTGCGAGCCACACCTCACTTTCACATATTTCCCTAGATGTCTGGTCTAGGGAAATGGATTGATTTTTAAAATATGCCTCATGTAAGACACTTTATTAAAAAAAAGTACTACCATTTCTACTTATAACCAATATTTTAAAATATTAATGAGATATTGGACACTATTTTTTTACAACAAGCCTTAGGAAGTTGGCATACGTCCCCCCCCCCTGCACAATTAGCTTAATTGGAACAACACATTTTTAGTGGTTGAAGGGCAATGCAATCCATTTGAATCAGCAAGATTGTGCTGAGCAGGGAAAGCATCTTAATGCCTTCAGTGTTTAAATCTAAATCTTTGAAAATTCAATCAAATTGAAGCTCCAGTTTCTCAAAGCACTGGCCACTTTTCAGTAGCCACACGTGGACAGTGTGGGCCTGGCTGAGGCTCAGAATTAGTGGAGGGCCACCATCGTTCACTTTCCGCTCCCAGCAGTGCAAGAAACGATTGCTTTCTTTGAAGGATGATTGTCTTGGGAAGTCACTGCAGCCCCCTCCACACCGCTGGCAGCCAAGCAGGGCTCCCCTGGCTTTGTTTGTACTTTTTACTGTGAAGTGGACGAAGGTGTATCGAGCAGATCTCCGTATTACATGCAACAGCAGGTGCATGCTCCGATTCAAGTCATCATTGCAATTCCTTGGATGCACCATCTCATCCCACGTCCTGTTTCCATCTCTCCATCTTTCCCAACCCTCTGGACTTTGTCTTTGGTTTAAACGCTGACCTTTTGATGTTCAATGATAGGTTATGCCCACATGGAGGTGAGTTCCATTCCCGCCCTGAAGGATAAGGACCATCCCTTTGGGGGTCCCTCCAGTCTCTGAGCAGTACGTCCCTGGTTTGATGTCAGATACAAAGCTCATCTTCTGAACTTGCTCTTCCTCCCCTGATCTTCACCCAACTCCTCTTCCGAATGAATCATTTCCTTGCCCACTGGCACGTCTTGGAACAAAGAGGTTGGCTTCACCTTCCATTGCTCCTTTGCCCCACACCAGCAATGTCCTTTACTCTGTGCCTGCCAGAAAGCGGCCAAGAGCTGAGGCTGTGTTTTGTCTCTTTCTCTCCTAGGACATCAGATATGACTTGAACAGGTATGCTGGGCCTTCCCATGTGCGTCTTTCATGCTGACTCCTTCATACATGTAACAATCAACATGCCCTCACGTTGTAGTCAAAAACGCTCAGCACTCACCAACACCTCCCTCACCAACACCTGCGTCTCTGTCTAACATTGCCACCAGACGCTGAGGCTGCTGGGAAAGGTCTGAGCTGAACTTATCAGCAGGTGGATTGGTCGTAAAAGAGAACGGCGGCTTTCTCCAGCTTCCTTGATCCCAACATCGGTTCTCCTATTTGGGAGCACCTCCTGCACAGCTTTCCTGAGATGGATCGCTCCTTGGCCCTTGTTCCTCTGTCCTGACCCCTCCCAACTCCCGATGTCCCCCCTCATCCCTGGCCCCATGTCCCTAGCCCTGCCTCCTCACGCCCAGTTCTCTAACCCCTGACTCCTCCCACACCCACCGCCAGGACTCCATCCTCCCTCATCCTCCTATCCCCCTCTCATTGTCAGGGCCCTCCCTCCCCAGCACCCCCTTCCTGACCTCATCACACAACTGAGCCCTGTCTTCTCAGGAGCCAAGGGTTTCAATTTCTCTCCCCAACCCCGGTTCCTCTGGACTTGGAGAAAAAACTCGGTGAGGCCAAATCAAGACACAACTCTGTCCTGGAATCCATGAAGAAATGCAGAGGTAAGGAATAGGCTCTTCCCTCCTCTGTCTCGAGCGTAACTTGTACACGCACTGTGGGGACTGGCCCTCCAACCGCAAGGTCCTGAGGAGCTGCGGTGCATTAGAGGAAATAAAGAGCAGAAACAGTGGAGACAGGGGCTCACGTTTCCTGTTTTCAGGATCAAGAGAGCATTTTTCCAATGGGCACATGCCTAATAGAGTGGGTGGGGGCCAGCGTGCAGTCAGCGGCTTAACCTTGGATGTCCCTGAGCTCTGTCCAGGGGAACCATCTATGATCAGTATCAGAAGGGAGTTGGCTGTGCTTTGGGTGGGACAGACCATAGAACCTGATTGCAGACAGCCCTCTGGGTTCAGAGTGAGCACCCAGATACAAGCAGGAGACATTTTGTATGCGAGCACCTCTATGGGGGCTGGAACGGGGATGATTTTCAGTCAGGAGACTGTATATTGGGGAGTCATCTGTATCGCAACTGTGGGAGCTCCCCCCCACCAGGGTCAGCCTTCCAAACCCGATTATGAATGTAGAGAATTTGGCCGCTGGCAATTTCATCCAGTTCTTCAGTGTCGCGCAACACACGCCAGTGGTGATCCTGTCACTGAAGGGTCCACTCGGACTCATGTCCCTCCCAGTGTGTCAGAGCAGAACGCTGCCCCCAAAGGGTCTTAGGGGCTGGCTGTCGGCTGCTTACGGGAGATCGCCGGGCTCTGGGGCCAAGCCACCTCTGGGTAGACTCAAACCCTGGGTTAGCAGCTGAGTGTACTGACTGCAGCACCCAAGGCCGACTCGTACGTAGTCTGTCAGAGTGAGAAAGGCCCCCAGCCACCGTGGACAATGGCTTGGGTAGCTAGCGATGGGTCAAGCATTTGCTAAAACACTAAAGATTGAGGCAATCCTGTCTCCTGATTGATTGCCTCATATCACACACAAACCCCCAGCCCCGAGTGTACTCCGGTTGCTCTGGGGCTGGTCCTGAGTCATGACGATCCCATGCGTGCCACACAGCTGTGTGTGCCACACTCCCTCATCCAGCACTTTGCATGGGTTGCCCTACTTCCTTGTGGGCACTTAACTGAATCTGATTTTACTTGTCGGCCCCCTTGATTCTGTAAGGCTCACCGAGCAGGGACTGGACCGATGTCTCATGGTAACCCCCTTTCCCAGCATGGCTGTATAGCTGTGCGGTGCCCTGCATCATCCTCCCCACCCCACCCTCAATGGGCTGTGGGACCCCTGGAAAGTAGCTTTTGCTTCTCCCTGGAGCCCTGTCAACTCCTGACAACTCCTGAAAGTCAATGCAGACTAATGGGGAGTCCTCTTCTAGCCCAGCAGGGAAACAGCAGCTGAGCAGACCGGATGAGGGTGGGGACTCAGGTTCTCCGTTTGGGCCCGCCATTTCTCAAGAACTTGTCTGGGTTTGCAGCTGAGAATAATGCAGGATGTTAGGAATTCTGTGCTTGTGTCTTCGTGCAGCTGTACCGGACATACCACCTGTGTTAGACAGGGTTCTCTAGAGAGATAAAACCAAATTCCTGATAATTAAATATATTTATTTATAAAGATAATTAGATATATAACAAGAAATGAACTGTTAAATTATATACAGATAAATATAACGAATGAACAGTTAAATTATAAGCACTACAAATGGCTCAGGGTTGTGAAAGACTAGCAGTCCTCCTTCTCTCTCTGTTGCCAGATCGCCCTCTATTTATAGAGTGAGACTATCTCAGCACAGCAGCCAATCACAAGGCAGATCACCAACTGTCAACTGACCAACAGTCCCAACTGCCAGTCCCCAGCTCCAGAGATGCCTTAAAGGGACCTCAACTTACAGAGACACAGTCCACAGGCTAGGCGTCCAACAGGTAGTGTAGCCTATAAATTGAGGCAAAGAACGAGCAAGGTAGCCGCACACTGGTCCGATGATCAAAAAGCAAGAGACAAGAAAGATGAGGCTCACTGAGCCATTATCTCTCCGCCCTTCAGTTAATCCTACTTGTATTTATCAGCCAGGCTGGCATAATAAACTATATCACCACCTACAAGCGAGCGACGTCAGTGAACGGAGCTGGGTGTTCTCACAGTTTAGGGAGCTAGACGCTTGAATTGGGGTGCCTCTCCTTCTCATCCCACTCTCTCCCCACAGAGAACATACAGCCTGATAAGAAGAAAGGCCTAAGCAGATTTTTTGGAGGCTCAAGTGAGGACTCCCCAACGAGATGTATGTGGGGCTTGAAAGTTGCGCCTATCCTTTGAGGGGCGGGAGACACGCAAGGGGGAAGAATCTTATCTCTGTGATTACCTGCGGCCCAGGTGTGGACAAATGCCTACTACTCGGAAATGGAGAAGACCGAGGCAGGGGATAGGAGTTTTATTCTTTTGAACGCCCCAAACTCACCAAAAGGCGTTTCGGGCAGGGAAATGTCTCTATGCCCAACTACCTACCAAAAGGCTGGTGTTTCAAGCCAATCCAGAGGTGCCTCGAAAGAAAAGTCTGGCGATCTGCTTAGAAAACCCTAAGGCAGACACCACAATGCCACAACTAACACGGAGGCCAGCAGCCACAGGTCTAATCCCCAGATTCTGAAGTATTCCAAAGTGATGGTTGACATTTAGTTCCTCACTCCCCAGAGAAAGGGAGGAAAGGTGTGACAAATGGAGAGGTGGAAGCAGCCCCATTTACATGTATTAACTGCCACTTCCTGTGCCCACCCCGCCCGAGAATACAGGTTTCTGTGGGGGTCATGGCAGCTCCAAGAGAGATCCATGAGTTGGCAGTCTATGCCTAGGAAGTGGTCACAGTTTGTTCTGCCATGCAAGACGACAGTACCAGGGGAACCATTTCTCAAAGGTCCACGCCATGCTTCGCACCCCACACCCAGTATTTCAAAATCCCACAACTCCCCCAAAATAGGCCACGACTGAGTCCAGAAAAGTAAGGGGAGTTGCCCAGGTCTATTAAAGGTAAGAAACAGAATTAGAACTCACATCTCCAAAGCTAGAAACTCCATGATGCACCCCGTCCATTTCTGCGCCAGAAGAGTTCTTGACTTGGAGGGATACCTCTGGGTAGCGATTCAGGCCTCCGGCTCTGTGAAAGGTGGAATATCCCGGGCCCTGGAGGCATCAAAGGCCAACCGAGGACACCCCTACTAAAAGGTCCCCATGCTCCCATCCTGGATGCAGGACAGTCCCCACAAGAGCTACTGTTTCTTATCATTGTTGATGGCAGCATGTTGGGTTTTGTTCTTAATTCGCAGTTTTTGCTATCGTGACTAAAACAAGTTCATTTTCCCCCAAGTTCCAGGGACTGTGGTAGAGAATACTTCTAAATGGAAGAAACCCTCAGGGCCTACGCCGCCTTCTCCAGGTAGGACCTCTGCCTCCTGACACTTCAGGCTTCTTGTGGCCTATAGGGGGGACCTCCAAGAGTGAGGAGGGAGGGTGGGGGTGTCACAATGTAGGAGAAGGGTCTTTCCCAGGTGCCCTCTCTGCCCAGACTACAGAATGGGAATATGCTGACCCACCGGCAAGGGGAGTTCCAGGCTGGCCTGAAGACCAAACTTCTGAGCCCAGACCATCCTCTCTGATCAGAGTTACGTGGGGGTAATTTCTCTCCATTCCCTCCTGGGATGAAGGAGGAGGGAAGAACCGGGAGAGGAACTCATTTGATAGGAAGGACTAGGGGTTGGTAGAAGATTGTGGAACTGCGAAATCTATTGTTCTTGAAAATTCCGTAGGGCTGTGTGGGGGTGGGGTAGCAAGGAGGAGCAAGGGGCAGGCATCTCATCCAATTCCTTCACTCCTTCCCAAATAAACTTCCTCCAGGAAATGGTGCATTTCTAATCAACTGGCTCTTGGCTGGTTCTGGCACACGGCGAGTCTAGCCTTTATCCTTTCTGTTGTATCAAGAGGTTAGCTATGAAGAAGTGTTTCTCCCTGGCCCCCATTAATCTCTCTTTTCTCCTTTCCTTCTTCCTTGAAGGCAGACCTTCTGAACAAGCATCCTCCAATCGCTGGCCCGCCGTTGCATTGAGTCTCCCCAGGCATCCGTCCATTCGGAAACCCATCCCTTCGGAATTGCTCCTGCCCCAGAACAGGAGGTCTTTCGCTGGGATTTCGCAATGTCTAGCCAGCAGAGAGCCTCTCAGGAGACCTGGAGCCACGGAAATAGACAAACTCACAGTGGCCCTGAGTGAGTGGTGGAGAGTGGTCCAGCCTTTGCTTGGAAGGGAATGGGGCAGGGCTGGACAGGCCTGGGTTTCTGAGAGTGAAAATGAAGGGAATGAAGACCCGAGGGAGGGGCACTGTCACTTTGATCAAACAGAGGGTGAAAAGACAACCACCGCACAAGACTCCTACCCAAAGCTGGACTTCTCCTTATCCCCTTTATTGGAGTACCCTCTGGTGCTTAAGGAAGTCCTCTGTCCTCTCCCCTCTACCCTCTGATTTAAACAAAGGGGAATTCAAAAAATTCATGGAAAAAATCCATTCCTCTTTTAATTCCACTTTTTCACGTGCTCCTTAAATTCCCCTTGTTTTGCCAAGGCAGCAGTTTAGCCATGTGTGCACCCTGCCTGCATCACTGCCCACCCCCTAGAAGGTGCCCCACATTCTCTCTCTTTTAAAAAAAATCATTTTATTAGGGGCTCAGACAACTCATCACAATCCATACACATCAATTGTGTAAAGCGCATTTGTTCATCATTCTCAAAACATTTTCCCCCACTTAAACCCCCGGCATTAGGTCCTCATTTTTCCCCTCCCTCCCCGCTCCCCCCTCGCTCATGAGCCCTTGATAGTTTGTAAATAGTTATTTTGTCATATCTTGCCCTGTCCGACGTCTCCCTTCACCCACTTTTCTGTTGTCTGTCCCCCAGGGAGGAGGTCACATATAGTTCCTTGTAATCGGTTCCCGCTTTCCTACCCACTCTCCCTCTACCCTCCCTGTTTCGCCACTCACACCACTGGTCCTGTAGGGCTCATCCGCCCTGGATTCCCTGTATTTTCAGTTCCTATCTGTACCAGTGTACATCCTCTGGTCTAGCCAGACTTGCAAGGTAGAATTCGAGTCACGGTAGTGGGAGCGGGGAGGAAACATTTAGGAACTAGAGGAAAGTTGTATTTTTCATCATTGTTACATCGCACCCTGACTGGCTCATCTCCTCCCCGAGGCCCCTCTGCAAGGGAATGCCCCACATTCTCATACACAACATCTCCCCCAGTCCCCAAGCTCAGAAAGGAGGGACTTAATAGCATCAAACCTTGTTTTATGACATTTCACTTTATTGCACTTGGCAGATACTGAGTGGGGGCACGGGGGTCGTGTTTGTTGTTGTTTTTAAACAAATGGAAGATTTGTGGTAGCAAATCTTGCATTGAGCCAGTCTATGGTTGCCATTTTCCCCAAAGCATAGGCTCACTTTGTTTCTGTGCCTCATCTTGGCCATTCTCACAATTTTCGAACTTTTTTCCACATCTGTTGCACACGCATTTCCAGCCTTTTGTGTGCGCTGGGTACTGAAAAGATCTGCGTGACTTGGTATATTTTGATACATGCTCTGGAACGCAGCATGCAGTATCTCCTAGGCAGGCCTGCCTTATCGGAAAAGTGTCTGGGAATTCCTGGGCGGCACCACCGGTGAACATGCTCAGCTGCTAATTGAAAGTTTGGATGTTTGAGTCCACTCAGAGGTGCCTCACAACAAAGGCCTGGTGATATAATTCAGTGGGGGGGGGGGGGATTAGCCATTGAAACGCCTATAAATCACAGTTCTGTTCTTGATGCTCCTAGTACAACCACGGATGGCTCCCAGGCAACCTGTACGTGTGAGGGTTTAGGATTAGGTAATAAGCCAGGGGCCTGAATGAGGCCTCTGTTCTTACAGGCATCATCGATATGGGTGTCATTGCTACTCAAGCCATTGTAGAAGGTGAATGGGGCCCTGCTACCCTTGATAAAGGATGATTCAACTTCAGAATCCCAATGAAATGCATGGATGAAGGAAAGGGGCTGCCTGTTCCTCCTTCGCTATTTCAACCCCCACTCACCCACGCCTATTTTTTAAGGGACCTGGTTTAAGAAGTGAATGGAAGGCAGTCATAGCCCCAGTAACTCTTATGTCCCCTCCAGGGGATTTGAACTCACTGTGACCCTGTGTGACAGAGTAGAACAGCCCCAGAGGGTGTCCTGTTATCTTGAGGAGCAGGTGTTAGGTCCTTGCTCAGTCAGCAGCAGGTGGGTTTGCAACTCGGACCTTTGGGATAGCCCCAGAGCGCTTAACCATTGCGCCACCAGGGCCCCTTCAGTATCTCTTGTGCTCGCCCCAAAGCTTGTTTTCGCTAAGGAATCAGAAACTTCAGGTGCTGGGCCAGGTAAGCAGATGTCCTCGACCTTACATGCTGGGCTGACACCACCCTCCCAGGACATTTAAGGACTGATTTCAAAGACCAGGAGAGGTTAGCACGCGTTGGGGGACACGAAGGGCTGGGAATGGGGAGGAAAGCCTCCCCCTGACATCGTTCCAAGGGAGCCCAACTTGACCCAGCGGGGGGTCCCCCTTTTTCCTTGGGTCTCTCGCAGCTCCTGTGACCTTTGACGCAACCTCAGCCCACCCGGACCTCATCCTTTCTCAGGACCTGAAGACAGTGACGCTGAACGCTGTCTCTTCAGAAAACTCGGAGGCGCCCGACGACCCTGCGCGTTTCTATCCTTTCCGTTGCGTAGTGGGCTCCCCAGGCCTTTCCAGAGGCTGCCAGGCCTGGGAGGCGGAGCTCCGCGGGCCCGGGGGCGGGGCGTGCGTTGTGGGCGTGGCTTCGGAGTTCGCCGCCCGCCGGGACTTCCTGACCTTGGAGCCCGCGGCCGGCTTCTGGGTGCTGCGCGTCTCGGGACGGCAGTGCCAGGCGCTGCTCGAGGGCGACACCCGGAAGGACCTGCGCGCCCGTCCGAGCCGATTGGGCGTCTCTGTGGACCACGAGCGCGGCGAGGTGGCCTTCCACGACGCCGCCACGGCCGAGCACATCTACACCTTCCACGCCTCCTTCCCGGGGCAGATTTTCCCCTTCTTCCGCCTCCTCTTCCCCGGCACGCAGATCACCCTGCGGCCCTGGAGTCGCCCCTGATCCCCCCCTCCCGCGACCCTTCACGACCCTCGAGGGGGGTGACAGCTAAGCCGGCGGAGCCCTTCCGGGAGGTGACGCCCCCATGTCGCGCGCATTTTCGTTTTGCGCTTCCCGGCGCCCCCTACACAGTACTGTAATGGGACCGGAACCGAGAGTCCAACGCTGGGTGGCCGTCCCAAGTGACGTGGCCCAGCCAGCGGGTCGGTTGAGACACAGGTGCTGGGGGCTGGATCTCTCCTCCTGCGTCTCAAGTCCCTCTCCGGGGCACTCTTTCTGCAAGCCATGAGGGATGCCAGCGTAGCACCTGTGATTTCTAGGATACATGGTTCACTGTAAAACTCAAAGTGGGTAATAGTCCGTATAGATAGTGTTTGCTGATCCTTATTTATTGTACATGGAGAAATAAACCAAAGACTCATGTTAAGAAGTTAGTGGTTATGCATTAGACGACTAATCCCAAGGTCCGCAGTTCGAAACCGCCCGCCCCTCTGCCCAAGAATGAAGGGGCTTTCAACTCCCATAAAGAATTGCCATCTTGGAACCTCACAGGCAGTTAGTTCTACCCCCAGCCCTGTAGGGTCCTATGAGTCGGCATTGACTGGAAGGCAGTGAGTTGGGTTTTGGTGTAAGGGGAAGCCTAGTGGAACAGATACAAGTTATTCGCAATGTTCATTGTTTCATGTATTTGACTTTGAAACCGTGCAAACGGTTTACATCATGATAAAGTTAAAATTGAAACGAGACATTAACCTAGCCGTGTATATAGCTTAACTCTTCAAAGACATGTTACTTTAAGTGACTTTAGACACAGTAGTTGCGATTATAAGGATCTACATATAACCTCCTCCCTGCCGGATGGATAAAGTGGGTGAAGGGAGACGTCGGACAGTGTAAGATGTGACTAAATAATAATAATGTATGAATTATGAAGGGTTGGGGGGGGGAGCAGAAAGGGAGGGGGGGAAATGAGCTGATATTAAGGGCTCAAGTAAAAAGCAAATGTTTTGAAAATGACGATGGCAACAAATGTACAAATGTGTTCGACACAGTGGATGGATGGATTGTGATAAGAATTGTATGAGCCCCCAATAAAATGATTTTAAAGAAAACACAGTAATTGTACATCCTTAGTGAGATATATACTAATGACAAGAATAATTCCTAATACATTTTAAATAATCACATTGGTAAAAATTATATATTATTCTAAATCTTACTGTTGTGTGTATGGGAAAATGAAGTGAAAAGATAATGGGATTTTTCCATGAATTTTTTGAAGCCCTTTGTGCAGGCATGGTAGACAGTTTTGTTCGTTGGTGTTATTGTTAGGTGTTCTGGACTTGGTTCCAATTCATAGTGACCTAGACGCAACCAAACTAAACACTACCCAGCCCAGTGCCATCCTCACAATTAGGATGTTTGAACCCATTGTTGCAGCCTTGGTACCAATTCATCTCCACGGATCTTCCTGTTATATGCTGACACTCTACTTTCCAAAGCACCATATCATTTCCCAGGGACTTGTCTCTCTGAGAGACAAAGTCTCCCCCTCTGTGGTAGTTACATACTTTTCACGCAAACGTGAAGTGTAGGGGTGGAATCTAGCCTGTCAATCGGGTCACAGCTTGATGATCTCATTTGGAGGTGCCACTGAGATCAATGGCTCGCTGGAGGCGGGGCCTCTTTCTGCCTTCACCCTCCTGTTGACGTGGAAACCTGTGCGAGCCCTGGAGCTGTGTACCCCTCCATTAGGTCCACAGAACTCTGCACGCAGCAGCCTGGGATCTGCCTGCAGCCTGCATCATTTCATGTGGACTCATGCGTCTGAAGAGAGACTTAGGGAGTAGTATTGGACTTAGGGACTTGATCTGGATGGGGCTGGGATGTTTTCTTGACATACTCCTTGATGTAACTTCACTCTTTTCTTTGTTTATCATGAGATTGTCTATTGGCCCACTTCTGAGGATTTTGGTCTTCCTTGCATTGGGATGTAATCTATACCGAAGTAATCTTCATCAGCAAGTGGTTCCGGGCCTCTCTGCTTTCAGCAAGCAAAGTTGTGTCATTTGAGTGTTGATGACCCTTCCTCCAATCCTGATGCTGTGGTCTTCTTCATATAGTTCACCTTCTTGGAGGATCTGCTCAGCAAACAGATTGAATATGTTTGGTGAAAGGAGACAACCCTGACACGAGCCTTTCCTGATTTTAAAGCAGACAGCATTCCCTTGAATGACTGTCTCTAGGCCTATGTTGCCCAGAGTACAACCGTGTTTTGAAATTTGCACTCTTTATAATGTTACACATTGTTGTAATCCACACATTCAAAGCCCGTGTAGTCAATAACACACAAACATCTTTCTGGTATTCTTTGTTTTCAACCAAGATCCATCTGAGGTCAGCAATGATATTCCTCATTTCATGCCTACTTCTGAATCCAGCCGGCATTCCAGAAGGCAGTCCCCTGCCTTCCTACAACCATTACTAAATCTTCTTCAGCAAAATTCTACCTGCATATGATATTAATGCTATTGTTCCATACTTTCTGCATTTCTGTCAGATCACTTTTCTTTGGAATGGGCACAAATAATGAATTGCTTCCCGTTGGTTGTCCAGGTAGCTGTCTTGGAAACCTCCTGGTATAGGTGAGTGAGTGCTTCCGGTGCTGCATCCCTCTGGTGAGACATTTCAACTGGTATTCCATCAATTCCAGAAGTCTCGTTTTTTCCGCTAATGCCTTTGATCTTCTTCCTTTAGGACCATTAGTTCTTGATCATGAATTCTTTTTAGAATAGTGAATCTTAAATTAAAAAAAGGAATAGTGAATCTTTTTTATATGCCTTCCATCTTCTTCTGATGCTTCCTGTATTATTCAATATTTTGCCCATAGAATCCTTCGATATTAAATTTAGAAAAAGCTGGCAATAACAGTAAAGCCATATTATGAGCCTTAAGGATAATTGAGATCATTAAGGTCCCTGAAAGTGGCTACATTAAATAAAAAAAAAGAGAATCCTTCAATATTTCAAATTGAGGCTTGAATTTTGCTTCAGTTCTTTCAGCTCAATAGGATAATGCTAGTAAGTCCTGTTAATGTAGGAACCAAGATTTGCAACCTAAAAGGTTAGGGTTTTTTTCTGATAAATATGACAAAATAAATTAAATAAAACAAGTAATATTTAATTTGGAAAAATCAGTATGAACTTGGGATGTGTTTTCTCTTTTAAAAACATGAAAAAGAGAAGTATTTCTTAGCTTTGTCCACAAAGGC